AATCTGTTATTCAGCCTCGTCATTTGACTTTTTCGCCTACAGGATGTGAGGTAACATTACCAAAATAACATAGATCTATCCAGTTTTCAATGATCTGTCCAATGATGGTGAAATGTGTTATCCAAAGTTTAGCCATTTTTGGAAAACACGATTTTTTCAACCAAGATTTTTTGGAAAACCTTCGAAATCTTTTTAAATATGCAGTTTGATAGAGCATCAAATTCTGAGTCAAATGCTATATTATTCAAATTTTTTTGATCGATTTTGAAAGACCTAAAGCATTTGAGATTTGACTGGAGGAATAGTTTAGGTGAAAAACTGCATTTTTAGAAGCTGGATTTCTCAGTACACAAATGTCCCATAAATTTGGTATTTGATAAAGCATTGAAAACTGGATAGATCTATGTTATTTTGGTAATGTTACCTCACATCCTGTAGGCGAAAAAGTCAAATGACGAGGCTGAATAACAGATTTTTCACGAATTTTCGACCTCAAGTGGCTTTTTTGACCTAAAAACACTAGTTTGAAGCGGATTTCTGTTCCGCATCGGAAAGTTGAGACATTTTTTAGCACATCTAGATGGTTTTGGAGGTTTCGAAACCAAATCCAAGGGAAAAAAACCTGCTTTTAATCAAGAGGTCACCAACGCCATCTGTCTGTGAAATCGACTTTTTTCGGTCAAAGCTTTTTTTCAGTTTCGACCTGATATTCGCGATCAGCGTAAATTCTGCATCGAATAAAGTATCTTTAGGAAAATTCCGAGTAAAAATGTTTTCGATGTTCCAGAGGTGGGATACGGCTAGAAATTTCCCGAAAAGTTAAAAATAGCTTTTCCAATGTGTCATATATCTCATTCGACGTAGAATTTCACGCTGATTTCGAATATATGACTCTTGTTCAAAACAAGAAAAAATGTTCACCCTTATAAGCTTCCGTCCTTTGAGATAAATTTTAGTTTCGACTTATGCTCTCGTACCCTTGTTTCACAAAAATATTTGAGTGTGATATTAGCACGAAGCTTGAGGTATACGTTGAACTTTCACCTATTCACTCGAGTTATAGAAAAAATTGTGAAAAAAAAATGTGTCTTTAGCTTAAGTTCAAGTTTTTTTATACTAAGGGCAAACTTGTGTATGTTTATCTTTTAATACTGATTACACCTTATTACTTATATACATCAGTTTATAAAAAGTCATTGCACGATGAAGAGGGCATAAATTAGTCAATCTCTATGTTGAATTTTTTAGCTGAAACTTCCATTATAATTGGTGGCAATATAATCAGGAAACCCCCTCCAAAATGTTTACAGAGAGTCTTTGAGAACTTTTTCCTGAATATGGTGCAGCTAGTTTTAATAAAAGTTTCAGCTAAAAACGCGAACATCGATTGAGTCACTGTTGCTTAGAATATATGATGCCTTTGTTCCATGGATCCTCTGCACTAAATTTAATTGAAGCAAGAAAATATTCTTTTGAATAATGATTGTGCACGTCTTTCTCATATGTACAGAGAAGATGATCTATCAAGCATCCCTCTCTATGCTTTTACTATATTAATTGCTCTAAAACTAGTAATGCTTTAATGATTCTTTAACTTTTGTTCTTTGTCTTTAGCGTGATGCACGTGGTAGTATAACTTTTAAAATTGTTCCAAGTTATCGTAGTCAACCACCACCATGTGATGTAAGAAATTGTTTTTTTTATTTACTTTCAACATTTCTATGTTTAAAATTTTTCTTCTATTTAGATTTATGTTAAAGTACTGTTTAATTATGATCCGAAAGATGATGATATTATTCCATGTACTCAAGCCGGTATTAAATTTCAAATTGGAGATATTCTACAAATTATATCAAAAGATGATCACAACTGGTGGCAAGCGAGAAAATTACTCGATATATTAGCAAATACAAATAATGTAGGACCAGCCGGATTAATACCATCTCCTGAACTTCAAGAGTGGAGAATTGCTACACATGCTATTGAAAAAGCAAGAGATGGAAGTGGTATGAGAAGACTTAGTCAATGATGAGAAAAATGAATTATTTTTACTTTATTTTGTCAAATTTAGCTAATTGTGGTGTATTTGGTCGAAAACGTAGAGTTTATAAAGATAAATATTTGGCTAAGCATAATGCTGTATTTGATCAGCTAGATCTTGTGACATATGAAGAAGTGATCAGATTACCAGAATTTAGAAGAAAAACTCTTGTGCTGTTAGGTAAATATTGATCATCGTTTCACTCTACATCATTCTTCATGTGTGAGCCTCTTTTCAGGTGCACACGGTGTTGGAAGACGTCATATTAAAAATACATTAATAACTAGTCAACCAAAAAGATTTGCTTATCCAATACCTCGTAAGTTAATATACGTCGATGTGGCTAGTCAACTAAACTTTATGTTGTCTTTTTTAAATGAAAAACGATCTGTTTCGTCATTAGCTACAAATTGAACTGGAAGACAGAGTCTAGAAAATTCTATATTGTATGAAAATCTGAGAAAAGGGTGTTATTGTACTTCTTAGAGTGATCTTAAATAATTATATAAATATTTTTTGCTTTGTAAAAATGTTGTTGTTCGTGCTCTTTCTTTCTTTTGTTTTTCTTTTCTATTTTACTGATATAGATACAACCCGTTTACCAAAAAAAGATGAAGAAAATGGAAAAAATTATTATTTTGTTACTCATGAAGAAATGATGCGTGATATAGCTAATAATGAATATTTGGAGTATGGAACACATGAAGATGCTATGTACGGAACAAAATTAGAAACAATTAGAAATATACATAAACAAGGATTAATGGCTATTCTTGATGTAGAACCACAGGTAAAATATTTCAAATCAGTTGATTACTAATGTGAATAGTCTTTTTTCTCTTCATTTTAGGCTCTCAAAGTGTTAAGAACGGCAGAGTTTGCACCATTTGTCGTATTTATAGCTGCACCAGATCTTTCACAAATCAAAGATATCAAAGGGGTTAATGTTAGTTTTTGTTGTTGTTGTTTTGTATACGAACTTTTCATTTTTATCTCTCTCTCTCTCTCTTCGAACGGATTAAACTAATTAATAATACTGCTGTTCACATCAAAAGAATAAATTAATTTGGAAAAATTTGTTTAGTCCGTAAGGTTCATGCTTCCATGATTTGATTCGAACTGTTTAACTTTTTTTCTAAACCTTTTCCGTTTTAAATTGATATTATTATGCTGTTAATATTCCAATTTTGACATTTTAACAGTTCAAATTACATTTTCTATATTTCATTTTTTTTTGGTATTTTTTAGGATGATAGTCTAGAGCGTTTAGTTAAAGAAAGTGAACTATTGCATCAAGCGTATGGTCATTATTTTGATTTAATTATTTTAAACAATGATATCGAAGAGACGATTCGAACGTTGCAAGATTCAATCGAAACAATTAATCAACAACCACAATGGGTACCTGTGTCATGGGTCTATTAAAAAAAAAAATTTGTGAAGTTTATTATTTTCGTTTTTTCTTTCTATTATAATAATGCAATTTTGCGTGAAATAATAATAAATGCATAAAAAAATAATAATTAACAATCTCTTTTTCTCGTATTTGATTCTTTTTATATATTTTCTCTCTTTTTCTGTAACAGAAACAGTGTACTTTTTTTTAAAAATTTTATCCTTTTTGTATATAAATGTTTCAATAAGCTGATACTTTTTCTATTTCTTTCTCAGTTCTTCCAAAACCTTTCGTGTGTGTGTGTTTGTGTGTGTGTGTGTGTGTGTGTGTGTTTACTTCTACAATGTAAATAGAATATTTTTGTTCGTTTCACATCAGATAGTTGTTGTCATCTTTTCTCTCTTTTTTTTTTTCATTCTCGAAACTAAAAATCAAAGTAATCTATTCTTCTTTTATTTAGTATTTTTTGTGTACTGTTTGTTTTTACTTTGTTTTGTCCAGACAAGAGTATAAAATGATCAATAATAACAGTGGTATTCAGTTCATGATCTAGGACTTTTGTTGATAAATCTGGTATGCAAGCTGATGCCACATTTTCTTGTAAATTCTTAGACGCTTTATGTAGCTCGAAAAGCTAAAACAAAGACAATATACTTATAGTCATTAGCAAATTCTTGACGTGCCTTAATAGAGAGTTTTTGAAAAGAGATGGAAAAAAAATGCTGTAAAATCACTGTTTTATTATATCTCTCATTGAGACATAAGTCGATATGTCTTTTTCGTCTAGAATATTGATGAGATATTATAAAATTTGATACTTAATATTTGCCTATATATTGAGAAATTTTTATTGTCAAATTTAAAACATACATTTGTTACACACAATAAAATTTTGACCAAAAATGTCACGAATTTTTTCGATAATAGATTTATTTTTACTTCTAATGAGCATTTTCTTTTTTTCTCTACTATAGGATATAAACTACAAAAATGAAATAGTATATCCAGTTAACTTTTAAAAAGGACATATTTGTAATAGGTGAATATGTTTTTCAATGCAAAAAAAATATAATTTCACGGATTTTGTTTTATTCGTTATAGAGTACAATCTTAAACTATAATTATTTCATTGGTGATTTAATCAGGATACACTATCTGCAAAGAATTTTGTGATGTTAAACGGAACATTTTTATTTGTTACTAGTTTCTTCTCTCATAAAGATTTCTTTTATCATCTTAATATCAAATAGAATTTCTCTTATCTTAATTGATATTGGAGTAAATTAAAATGTAGTTTTTTTCCATAAAATTCAAGTATCAAAACTGTTTTGACTGTTAGAATGCGAAAAGAATGTCTTCACCATAATTGTGTGATTTGACAGTATATGTCTTTTTTTTCTCCTTTTTATCAATCCACTAATTAATCTACGCACTATTCAACTAATCGAAATTTCATCAAAAACTATTATATTTATGCAGTGATATTGATGAGATATATTGGATGTATTCGGTCTTTTTTTTCTACAAATTTGTTTGTTGATATTTATTGTTTTGTACCTTTGTTGTGCTTTTATTCATTTTTTTCTTCGTTGCAAGAACATGTGTGTGTTTTTGAAAACAGAACCTATAAATTTTTGAATAAAATAAATTTTCAAAAACTATTTTGAACATATGTAACTGGAAACTGATAATCTTCCTAAAGTTTTACAATGGATTGAAATGTACACAATCTTATTATTTCAGTAATTATTCATTTTCGGTACTATTAGATGAATTAATGGTAAATGTTTTAATAATTTCTCCTTTTTAAAATGTATTTGCTACATCTAACATATCATTTTTATCATTCTTATATGAACATAATTAATTCTCCATTTAATATTATAATTTTAGATTCCCGTTTGAGATGCCTGCTCCACCACCTGTGCTTATCCTTGGTACATTACCTATTGTTGAAATATGTGTTCCACTTTTACGTCAATTTGGTTTTCAAGTTATTCATTTATGGTCACCAAAACGTTTTACATCTCTCACAACCAAACTAGTTCAAGATCAATTAAAACTTGACTCATATTCCTGTTCAACGTATTCTTTCGAACAAATTTTTGATACATCATCACAACCTCTTCTCGTCTGGATATGTGTTGAACCTGATCAACATTTATCATTAATATCAAAAATAATTGAACAAAAACATCATTTCGTTTGTATGTCACCATTTACTCTGGACTCACGAGAACTATCACAAATAGTACAGAAATCAATGTTCAATAAAACAGTTCTTAGTTGTCTCTGTTATCCATTGGCCTTCTTACCAACATATATCAAATTAAAACGAATGTTACAAGATGAGAAAGAAAATATTGGTAAGTAAACACGCAATGTTGTGTGTGAGAAAGTAAAACTAATAAAGTAATTTCTAATTACTCTACATTTCAAAAAATTTCTTGAACAACTTTTGAACAAAAGGAACTGGAATCTTGCAGTTCTTGTCAATCGAAAGGAGCAGTTCGAATACATTTTTTTAAAAGCAAAAAGTGGTCAGAAAATCAATTTCCGAAATAGTGTTGTGGCTTTGAGATAATTTTGGAATCGTGTGGATCATATGTAATCGACCACGCTAAATTCGATGGCGATGTTTGTTTCTGAAAGTGAATTGAAAAATTGGTAAAAGTTGATTATTACAAAAGCAGGGATTTCCTGACTGTTTTCATCGAATATTAGAAATTCGTAACTCACTTGAATATACATCAGAATGATCGGATATTATATCATAGTGATAACAAATAAACAAAAACATTCCAAAAACCTTACGATTCTCCGAAGGAGTTTCTAGGAAATCTGTGAGCAAAACACTGTTTTTTTTCCAGTTTTCTCGATCCCTTAATCACCTTTAGCGTATAAAACTAACCATTTTCTGAGGCTTTGCGGTCGTTCTGGTGTATATTCAAGTGAGTTACGAATATTCTAATACTCGATAAAAACAGTCAGGAAATTTCCGTTTTGTAATAATCAGCTTTTACCAATTTTTGAATTCACTTTCAGAAACAAACATCGCCATCGAATTCAGCGTGATCGATTACATATGATCCGCACAATTCCAAAATTATCTGAAAGCCCCCGCCATCAGTTCTAGAGCTTCAGAAAAGTCTACATCATACCCGAACTACTGCCGAAACCAAGGTCTCCCATGATTCCTATTTCCAAGAGGACACTTTCGACTATCTATTCATGCAAAAAAACAAAATGTTGCCACTTAGACTTTTGAAGAACTAGATTAGTTTTTCAAAGATCTTCTCACAACACTATTTCGAATTAAAAAATTTAAATTAAAAAATAAATTGATTTTTCAGTTTTGTATGCTTTTTACGTCTAATTCTGTACTCATTCAATAATAAACTCCTTACCGAGCCAGTCTAGGGTAGGTGGAAGATATTATTAAAACAAATACAGAATGTGAATAAGAGAACGTACAGAACTCTACGATCTCTCACTTTATACGAAAATGTTTAGTTAATATTTTGTTGTCTTGTAAGAAAGATGGTAACAATTTCAATTTTAATGTAAAAAAACTCTTTCCTCATTAAATATAATCATATTGATTATAACATTTCGACGTTGGAAACGTCTTTATCAGACATTGAAAAATACAAATAAAATTTTCATCATAAGAAGAAATGTTAGTCAAAATTGCAGTATTAATCATAAAAATTACTGTAAATTAAATTTATTTTTTATTTTTAGGTGATTTATTATTAGTTGATTTACGTATAAAATGTTCGCCATTAGTACCGACGTCGGATTCTTCCTATTGGTTAAACGACACAATGTTAGGTGGTGTTCTGACTCGTTTCGGTTCTCTATCATTAGCTCTTATATGTTATTTGTTTGGTTCCTCGCATACAATATTAAGTGTTAACAATGCACAAATAAAAACATATCAACAAAATAGTCGTATAGATGATTATTGTTCGTTTCAACTAAATTATTCGTCAAATCTAACAGTAAATATTACAATTAATTCAAATGCCCACTGTTCATATACACAAGAATTAATTATTTATTGTTCAAAAGCATCTCTCATTGTTCAAGATTATAAATTAGCTATTAAAAGATGGTAAGAGTGATAAATTTGAAAAAGATTTAAATATATGAATAGGGAATCTCTGTTGATGATTCGAAAGTAGAAGCATCGTACATGAAAGAACTTAAGTTACTTTTCGGATATTTGCTTTAGCTATCCTATAATTAGTGCCACAAAATGAATAAATTTAAGCAAACTATCGTTTCTCCTATCAGATAATTAATTGTCACGTGATATCCGGCCTAGTGAATCTATACTTAATACGATGAAAACTATAGCAGAATGTATGATAGGATAATGATCAGCTGATACGATAATATGAATAACATGATGTAGAAGATAAGTATAGCTGAATAAAATTCGAAACATATTTTGTTGCTAAAGGAGAAAAGGCATGACTTCGACCTGTCCACGTAACGGTCCACTTTTCGTAAGTCCGTAACATTTTGTCAATATTGCAGATCTGCGATGGACCGGTCATACAAAACTGAGAGACGTCTTATTCTCAAAGTAAACATTTTTCTTTAAAGTGATAATTAATCAAACGCTGATACTTTATCCCGTGTTTATATGCAAGCTTCAAACTGAATGTTTAATTCGTACGCTCCGGCAGTTCTATGTCAACAGGTCTTCACTTTATAAACCTATCAACTATTAACATATGCTTGATTATCAATTTAAAGAAAAATGTTTGCTCTTTAAAATAAGATATCTTCCGATTTTATATGAGCTTTCATTGTCACACTATAGCATGATCAATATGAAGAAAACGTAACAAATTGAGAGCATTACGTGGACAAGCCCACTTAATTGTGTACGAAAGACGATAGTAGTATAAATAATACCAATATTAATATATTATATTACTAAATTTACTAATAAAAATCATTGAAAAGACGATAGAGAGAGAGAGAGATAGACAGATTGTGTTCACTATTTATAATCTAGTTTTGATAATGAACTATCCAAATAGGAAGAGTATGAATAAAGATTTGAAAACTAACTTTTCTATATTTATATGACTGATTTCTATTGTTCATTTATGTTTTATTTCATATTCGTTCACTATTTTTAGTGATGTTAATATCGAAGATCCACCTCGAACTATAATTGATTCGTATCATAGTGAAACAGGTGAAAAATATTTAAAACAAGCTAAACTCTATCCTGAATTACCAATGTATTATATTCAATCATTATATTATTTTTTTGGTCATTTAAAAGAAACATTTGTTAATGGAAAAATAACATTTTTAGATATTTGCAATTTCGATTTAGTACAAAATGTTCAACAAATTTTGTTAGCTATTAGAGAGTCAGCTAGAACAAATGATATTGTCCAATTGTCAAATATTAGAAAATAATTATCAAAAAACTTTTATCTTTTAATCATTTCTTTTTCTTTTTAATCCGGATAAAGTATCATTTTTTTTTTTTTTTTTTTATTGTAGCAAGGGATGCTTATAAGAATTATTATATATTTTATTTTTTCGTTCTTCCTTCGCTTCGAACTGATAATATGTTTGAATTGATAATCTCACTATAAACCAACCATGTCAACAACTTTTGAACAAAATATTAAAGTAATTTTTTTTTACAATTGAGACAATATTCTTCTATTACAAATTCATGACCATATGGTTAAAGCCAGATATTTTTCTAAAGTGTTAATAGTGTCAAGAATAAACAGAAACTTTTTTTATTTTTATCTTCTTAACAATATTCACGTAACCGGTGAACACTTTTTTTTTTTGCATATTTTTTTAATTGATTTTTGTAGTCGTTTTTTATTCTATTATTTTGAATATTATAAAAAATATGAAAAGAAAATGTATTTATTGTTTTCGTTGGTATTATGACATACTTTTTTTTTTTACTACATTTTTTTTGTAATTAAATTTTATTTGATTTTTAACATTTTCATAGGTTTATTTTTTCTTTCTTTCTATATTTTATCAATTATGCAGTATTAATTAGAGAAAAAACAGAACAGTTTTTTATACTCTATTAGAATGATTGTTAAACACCAGCATGATATTTTAGAATGAATATTATAAAGTCATTAATTTTCTTCTTGTAGCAAAATAGAAAAAAAACATTTGAACAAGAATTTTAAAGAGAACGTTTCTAATTTTTCGGAGAACACAATTGTTTTGTTCAGGTTGAACAGTGAATACATGAAAGACTAACGCATAATAAGAAATTAACACGCTTCTCACCATCACTGTACGTTCAAATAATGAAAAAATCAATTTTTCATTTTATGAAACAACATCATAATGTTTATTTTATCTAATGGTGAATGAACCCGTTTAGGTCTACAACGTTTTTTGCTGACGTGTTCTATGTTTTGTTTTTGTTTTTTTGGAAAAGTCGATATCAATACGAAGTTAGATGAGATTTTTTATATTCTAAATAAATACTTTTTCTTCGTACTAACTTTATTTATTCCAAACGACATATGTTTGTATCCGCTGAGGAAGACTGAACTATCAAACGAAACGTTTGGAATAAATAAAGTTAGTAAAAAGAAAAAGTATTTATTTAGAATATAACATGTTCTAATTTCAACGGATCTTAGATGCAGATGGTGAGGAGCGTGTTAACATTTTATTATGTGTTAGCCTTTTATACGTTCTTTATTCAATCTGAACAAAATCGCGTGTTCCGGAAAAAATAGAAACATTCTCTTGTCAATCTAATCTCTTTTAAATTCTTGTTCCAAGATCTTTATCATAGAACAACGATTAATTATTTACTATGAATTTTCAACAACGTTTATGCGAAGTTTGTCATCAGAAAAATGGCGTGTATAAGTGTCCAAAATGTCGTTTGCAATAGTAAGATAAACTCTGATCTTTTTTGATTCTCTTTGAAATTTCATTATTTTAGCTTATTATAGCTGTACCGCTCAATGTTATCAACAGCATAAAACTTCTGGTAAGTATTAAATTTCTCGGTATTTTATTATATTTATACAGATAAAGATTTTTATTCTTTTGTAGATGTTTGTCAAGAAATCCCTGTATCACAAGACCTAACTGGAAAGCCAAGTATGTTGTACACGATGTAAAACAAAATGCTAGTTATTTTTTTATCTGTCTCAGTAATATTTGTACATAAAAATGATAGCACATCACTCATCTCTAATTATAGACCCATATCATTGTTATGTGTTGTAAGTAAGATATTAGAAAAAATTATCCAAAACAATTTTCTTGACCATTTATTCAATAACGATCTGTTCAGTAATACACAAATCAGTTTCTGTCCCACTTCTTTGACCACTGATGCTCTTCTCTGTGCTACTTATTTTCTCTCTAAGGCAATCAGTGACTAAAAATATTGTTTAAGATTTAATTTTGATCTATTTAAAGCGTTCGATAAAGTTTTATACTTAATTCTTTTTCAAATTCATTGATATTAGAGGTAAATTTCTTGATTGATGCACGCCTTATTTGAATAACAGAGAACTCAATTCGTTCACATGGAAGGAGTGTCATCGTCGAAATCCTTAAGTATCATCAGAGATTCTACAATAATTGGATTTAAGTTCTCATCTTTTTCTAGTTTTCAATAGTGATATGAGTCAACCATTATGTGATTCAGCACTGTAAATCAACACCTGTTTCCTGATAATATATTTGTGTTAATAACATTTGATAAATATGAATGAATATTTGTCGCCGATGCTTCCATTCTGTCTTGTTTTGCCTCATTGTCGACAGTCTTTCTCTATTAGTTTCGTTCAAATGTATACACATCGCCTCTTCCCACTCTTTTTAGCTGTTCTCCATAAACATTTTTATCCCGTTTTAGTTTCATCCACTTCGGTTTCGATTCTACAGTGAAATTCTAGGGAAAATAGCTCTCATTATACACCAGCTATCTGTACAACTTTTAAAACATGTTTAGTACCATTCCTGCTCGCTTTTATGTTTTATGATCCAATAAACTGAACTGAACTGAAGTGAATACCATATTTTTATTTATAGAGGCAAGTCGTTCAGCGATAGTTCTTAATGATGATGAAACGGATGATTTAGTATCACCATCAACTCTTGATAGACTCAGTAAGTAAGCTCATACAGATTATTCATGTGTGTCAATGAGCATACATTATTTTTTAGATCATTCAAGTGAATTATTAGATTTATTGAAAAATCGTCATTTACGATCAATGATTAAAAATTTAGATAAATCTTCTAATCCATCACGAGATATTCAGCAGGCAATGATGGAACCAATCTTCACACAATTTGTTGAACAATTATTGACTATAGTCGAAAATAGACAAACAAATTTACACTGATACTAGAATTTTTTCCTGTACATTGCTTATTATGAGCTGAAAAAAAGATATACTTGTTCTCGAAAAAAAAAGAATATACTAGAGTATTTCTGAAAATCTACTTAGAATCTAAACTTAATTAATTATTATTATATAGAAAAACTGGGTGATATATGTCAGTTTGAAAAAATTTCAGTTTTCATGACGTATCGATTTTTCGAGTCGCTTGTGAAAAATCCTCGAATTTAGTCCTCGAATTTGAAAAAAGTAAATTATTTGAAATAGATAATGTCAGTTTATCTCATGAAGATTCCCAAACTTTTCTACTCGATGTCTGATGAAATCTTCATGATTATATGACTTCTATCACCATGATGTGACTAAATAATGCTCAAAAATACAAGTAAAATTTTTTGAAAAAAGCTCAAAAATTTCACCTTAAATTTGAATTTGATTACAACATATATTAAGACGTTAAAATATCTCGTTCTGTTACGATTTTTTACTATATTTGACATTATCCGAAATGTTTTTCTGTTGTTTGCATTTATAGCATCACTCTTTCTTTGAATTTTATTTTTTTCCAAAACATGTCAGACAGGTCAACATCATTTTGAACTTTGTTGGGGGATATTACTATATTTAATCATATTAAAACAAATATCACTTCAATTATTGTATTTTGAGTACGAATTACAAATGTAAAGCGTGATGATGTCACGATAAAAACACTAACAGCAACGAAATGACTGGTACAAAAATTGGGAAATTATAGTTTTTTTAGTTAGACCCATTCCCTTTCGATGTAAGGTAAGACAACATAAAAGAAGTACACAAAAAATACATAAATGAAAGAAATGTTCATTCAGCTTCTGTCCTGTTCGTTCACATTATGTAAATAAATAAAGGCTTTTCATCCGACTATCACCCTCCAAGTATACTTGGTTTAGGTGATATCCTTCATTTCACCAGTATTACTAAACATAATTTGTTTTCACATCATTTCTTTCCAATTTTAATGTTGTTTTTCTTACACCAATCTTTTGCACATGACTTTACATGTCCTGTGATACCTTGCGACTTGAAAGATCTGTTACAATTTGGATAAGTGTAGGTGTTGTTTACATCTTTCACTAATACTTCCGTTACCTTCCGTTGTCCCGCTCCACGATCCTTAGCTGATTCTTCTACTCTCCTCCTCTCTGCACGATCTTTAAGTTCATGAATTATTTCTTTGATGTTTTTTTGTACAGAGGTAACCGTCACACGTCTGTTGATTAGCTCACGCCACATTTCTCTGTCTCTTGTTTCCCTTCTCCAGTTTCTAATCTCGAACTTCTCAAGATCATCCATAATTTTAGCCTCCCACCGTTTCCGAATGCCAATGTTACCAGGACGTTTGTCTTTCGGGAGGTAAGAGAACATTATTTTCTTCACCAATGATGCTTCATTATTCTCATTCTCCATCCTGTTGGCGTGTCCAAACCATCTTAATCTATTCCTTCTCATTATATTTTCAATTGTGGGCTAGCCAGATAACTGATCAGTTGGTTTGAAACACGATCTCCCAAGTTTAAACTTAGCACCGTTCTCAGGCACTTCATATAGAATATGTTGATTCTATTCTCCTGAGCGACTGTCAGATTCCATACTTTACTGCCATATAATAGAACTGGCAGCACACGATCGCGGAATATTCTGAGTTTTGCATCGATGGAGATTGTTTTCCGATACCATGTCACATTTCTTAGCATGTTGAATGTCGTTGCTGCTTTTGTCAGTCGAGACTCTATTTTTTTGTCAAGTCGTTGGTCTCTCGAGACTAAGCAGCCTAAATAGGTAGATGATTCAGTTGTTTCAATCTTCTGGTTTCGAATTGTGAAACCAAGGTCGGGTGGATCAATTTCTTGCTTTCTCAACATCTTTTCATTGTTATTTACCGCAAATTGTTGTAAAGACATAACACATGTCTTCTTTACACTCATTGTTAAGCCATACTGTTGTGTAACGTTTTCGAAAGTCTTGATGAATTTTTCCAGATCATCTTGACTGTTACACATTGCAGTAAGATCATCTGCATACATTAGTATAAGGATGTTAAAGCTCTCGTACTTCTCTCGACTTCCATGGTAAAAATCATTGCTCCCATAAGAAAATTTCACACCCGTGACTCCTGCATCTTCGAGCACTTTTCTAATAATAAAATCAAAAAGGATGTTGAATAACACCGGAGAAGGAATTCCACCCTGCATCACTTCTGTTTTAATCTTGAAGATGTCAGATAGTTCGCCGTTGATTCTAACTTGTGCTCTTGTGTTCTTGTAAACTAGTTTCAATAGTCGTACTACTTTCTCTGTCAGTCCATATTGTCTACAGATTTTCCACAGTAATTCTCGGTTCACAGAGTCATACGCCTTTTGGATGTCAATGAAACACATGTACATCGGTTTGTTGAACTCCCTTGATTTTTCCATTGCCATTTTGAGAGTGAATATTTGATCAATTGTTGATCTGTTTGCTCTAAAGTCAGCCTGTGTTTCCAGCAGTTGACGATCAATCAGAGTTTGAATACGGTTCAGAATTACGCGAGTAAACAATTTACTCGCCACCACTAGGAGAGATATGCCACGATAATTGTCACACACTTTCTTGTCGCCTTTGTTTTTAAATAAGCAACTCAATATGGCCAACGTCTTCTACAATTTCTTCATTGGTCCATATATCAACAAAGATTTCGTGTAGCCAGCTGAGTACCGGCATTGCCCTTGCTTTCAGTAAATCCGCGGTAATATCATCATTACCAGGAGCTCTTCTACTTTTCATTTGTTTTAGTGCCTGTTGCACTTCTGCGATTGTTGGTGATTTCTCTTGTCGAACCTGTTCCTGAACTGAGATGGTATTGTAGTGCTGTGATACCATGTCTCGAGTAACGTAGAGTATCATTACTCCATACAATATAGTTAAGTTAAAAACAAAGACACTTCTATCATCGAGAAATACCAGCACTTGGCAATAACAAACATATTTTTAGCATGGTATACTATGAATGGGTACGATGATTATGGGCGTTCAAAAAATGGCCAAATTAAGCAATAGTCGATGCGTTCGTGTGGTATCAACAAGATCAAGAGTTTGTAATGTTAGCAATGTTGACATCGATTTAAAAAATATCAAACTATTCATATGAACAGGATCGCCTGTATCTTTTGTTCATTTTAACAATGGTCAATGAATTCACTAGTACATGTATTCCTTATGCTATTCTAATTTTGAGTAATGATCTTTAAGATAATGTAAACAATTTTCTCCTATCCATGTCTGACAATGTTTTAATGAATTCTATTAGTCAAGATAGAGAGTCTACTATATTTTTATTGTTTATTATTGTAAACATGGTGATAACAATTATAACTTCGAGAAAAACGTAGCTCTTTCCACACTCAATATTTTGAATTTATGATAATATTACAAATATTTTCAATTATTTTGTATTTGTATGATGTTCTTCGTCATCGAAATAGATTATACTTCGTCCTAGTCTTGGCAGTGCTCGTCTCTCATGTATCCATGAATCACCTACGTCAATCAGATAATCACCGGTATCATCAACCACATTATCATAGTATCTACCTGCATGATTAAATCGACGTCCAAGACGTGGAGCAGCACGACCAAGACGTGGTGTAGCACGACCTAAACGTGGTGCAGCTCGACCCAATCGTGGTGTTGCACGTTCAAATAAACTAGATTTGGAATTAAAATCAGAATATAAAAGTGGATAATAACTTTCTAGATGTGTTTGTTGTTCAATTTCATGTTGTTGATCGGGCGTTGAATCAAGTGGTTTGGCAAATGAGTTCGCTAGTAAAAAGTTTAGAAGGATAATTATAAAACAAGTATGATATTAATTAACTTACTGCATAAAACAGAGATGACACTAACTATGAATATCCATTGAATGTTTGATAAATCAAATGTGATACATTTTATCAAACAACGAAATAGTCCTAGAAATAACAACATCAACAATTAAAGAGAATTATATCAAAAAAGTATTGAAAAATGACAGAGTATAGCAAATCTTTTAGAATAGTCTACCCTAAGTGAAACGTTTTCTAATCAATATCTTAACTTCTTGCATTTTTTCTGTAAGATCTTAATCAAAAATATGGAAAAATTCTAAGCAGTCAAGATCTTGGTTTCTGGTACTGACTTTTATTGTACAAAGATCTTATCAATTTTTAAATCACTGTTTTCTTTCAGCCTTTCATACAGCCTTATGCAAAATTATCGAAACAGTTCGAAACTTCATTTTATCGTCGAGATTTTTTGAAGAGAACTGTTTGCATTAATTTTGCACAGAACTGTTAAATGACAAAAAATTTTCCTATGCTTCGGGAAAGAGTCTACGATTATAGATGACCTTATATTTAATGGCTCTGATTGTCATATACGAAAGAAAATGAAAAATAATTCACTCAAAATTCTGAATGCAAAACGTTTCACTAGGTTAAACAATTGAACAGATTGAAGTATATTATATGTATTACTGGAGTTATTGATGTCAAATAAACGTGTTTAAAGATTTTTAGTATTATTGAATGTTTGTCTACTGTCTAAACGTCAGTATACAGTTCAAGGACTATGCTTAAATTAGCTTATTCATTCAGTTTTCAATTTTCTGTCATCTTGTCACCAGGTCATATAAAAAAGAAGTTTAATTTCTAATCGGATTTCACACTTTTTATAATTATATCTTCTGTCTATCTTCAAAAAATGTTCTCTACAGCCATGTTAAAAAATGAAGGCTGAATAGAATGGGAAAAATATATCAACTATTTGCGATATAGGAAATTAGAGAATAGAAATGTTGTTTTGATATCTCGTCATATACAACTTGTATTCATAAAAGATCAAACAGCTAACGTAAATACTGCTAAAATGAGGAGTATCATCGGTATACCGACATTTGGGCGCAACAATAGCTGAAGTTCAAATGCTCCGGTGCGGGTTTAGGGTGAGAGTGAGTGTGAGTATCGATGAAGATTAAACAAACAGTGATTACAGTTGGATATGAGTAATATAGAAAAAGCTCTCACATCGTACCAAGTTTGTTTAAAGAAAATTTTATCGTTATGCATCATACTTTAACAAATGCACTCTTACTGAATGCTTTTGTAGTACATGCGTCCAAATGTCGGCGCCCAAGTGTCACGCACCCAAATGTCTGATAATCAGTATCATCAGTCAATCTAGAATGTTCATGAATTAGTCTACGAATCTAAATTGAATGATAACGTTGCGTAAAAATTGACTTAAACGTGATAATACTAGATCTATTGAAAGTTATGGAGATTTTTTAATTTTATTGATCATAACCGTTAACGGTGTGAGTGTTATCAAATGAGAACTAGAAAATCGATCCATTTTGATTCTGAAAATAAAACAGTTAAATATTAAACTTACCTTGTAAATTTTGAATTGCCATGTACATATTAATGAACAAAGAAAAAAGTGACAATATAGGAGATATATTTCGTCTAGATTTGTTGTTTGTTTTTGTTTTCTTCAAAGGGTTCAGTAATATAGTTCTAGATTCTTAGAAGTATCGTTCAGTTTTTATAGGAAATAATAAAATAATACGTGGGTATAGTGTTTTGATTCATTGTAACATGATTTCTGATAGATAATTTTATGCCTACGTATAAAAGAAAAGAGTTTTTTGAAACTTAATTATTGGCACACTCAAATATACTGAACAAACAAGCTCTTATATTGAACAATAGATGTTAATTTCTATGTGAAACTCAATAAAGGAATAAAAGTATAAGAAAGAAGACGAAAAAAAATGAATGAAATGAAGAGAGAAACAGAAAATAAAATGAGTTCTTTTTTCTGTTATACTCATTAAATCATAACTTATGCGTCGAATATTGATCATGACATGATTTCCGGTGTACTTCATTGATATGGTGAGAGAAACTAGGCATACTTCTCTTTGCACAACATACCTTTATCTAAAAGAATAGATGACACAAAATCCAGTAAGATTTTTTACTCCTACTCATTCTACTGTTCACCTGATTCTTTTTTGTTTTGTAAACGTTAATGTATTTCACATAGATATTTTTTCCAGGAAAACATGATGAAAGAGTTATATTATTTTGTCAGTTTTGATAATTTTTTTTCTATAATTAAATTTCGACAAAATTTGAATCTATTTGTACAGAATTAGATCAAAATGATACTATCAGTGAGTGATGTTCCTTTAACTGATATATCAAGAAAACAAAAACAGTTAAGATATACATCATACATTTGTTAAAATAAATAAATTGATTATTTATTTTATGTCTAAAAAATGTCTTCGTCTATAACATCATTGATATAATGCTACACATTTGAGGTAACATATGAATTTAAATGTAAATTTATTAAATTTATTTTCAAATTCAAAACTTTTCTGATATAAAAAGTAATTCAAAATTATTCTTTGATATTTGATAAAAGAATCATCTCTTGTTTTCGTCGATTAATTTCTTTATAACATCGAAATAAGTACACAGCAATAGAAATAATAATAATATGTGTTAAGAGATGAATACAGCATGCTACTTTGTATAATGTTATGTTACAGTATGTTAGTAATTGTAAATGTCTATATTGAACATTCTTCATTGAACCAAATATCCATACGCTACCAACTACTAGCCAAATAGTGAGAAATGAACCAAGAGAAAACGCTGAAATTACATAGAGAAATAGTTGGATTATATACTTCTTCGAATCAGAATCAATTGTGATACATAAAAGCATAAATAGATGTAAAATAATTAATAACAATAGGACAATACCAATAGCTATCAAATAAACTGGAATCATCTGTTGGACAGCACATTGTCGATGATAGTAAGTGCCCACTATTAGACTTATTAAAGGATATAATGAGCAAATTAATAAAATAATAATTGATGTTTTGGACCAATTTGTCGTACTAGATATTCTTCTAAGATTTGATACACCAATGATGGTCATCTTCTTATGATAATTGGCATAGATTAGATCACTGTTTATTTAATAAAAATTTTACGTTCAGTAATTTTCGTTTTTGCAAGTCATTCTTTTTTAAATAATAAGATGACAGAAACTTATTTTCATGTCGAAATAACCCTGCGGTCTTAAAGAAATTCAAATGTTTTTCTTTTTCGTTCTTCTAACTTCTTGGAAGTGTCTTTTTAACATTCAGCATCAAAAACTGAGCATGAGAATGATGCTTGATCGATTCTGTAGGTCTATCAAATATGGACATGTGAAGATATGAAGTCGATTTTTGTGCTTCATTAGAACTGCCATTAAAAGAGCTTTAAAAGTATAATATTTTGCTTCGTTACTGAGAAAATTCATTTTTCCTAAATCAGCAGCGAAAAAATCAGAATTTTGTCTGTAATTCTGAATTTTCTGTATTGTAACTCAACTTTTATCCAATACAAAGATTATATTCGAAATCAGCGTCAAAAACTGAGTCGAATGCTCTATTATTCAAAACTTTTCCTTGTTTTTTATTTTTTGGTGAAAATCTCAGTGATTTTTCGACGTAAAAACTCAAAAAAACTCTGAATGGTCGGATAGGAAAAGAAAGTATATCATTCGACTCAGTTTTGACACTGATTTCGAATATAATATTTGTATTGGATAAAAGTTGAGTTACAATACAGAAAATTCAAAATTACAGACAAAATTCTAATTTTTTCGCTGCTGATTTAGGAAAAATGAATTTTCTCAGTAACGAAGCAATATATTATACTTTTAAAGCTCTTTTAATGGCAGTTCTAATGAAGCACAAAAATAAAAACCTGATGAACTTTTGTCACCTTAAAAATAAAATTTTTTGATAATAGTGTAACTGAGATACTGTTCAATCGGCCCATATAAAAATATCTAAGGCCGTTTTTATCGTTTTCAATTAATTAGAAATAAAATGTATTCTCGAAAATTTTTCTTCTCCATTAATTCCTAATTCGATCACATCGTAACTTTTTTGTCTAATTCTGTCACATACATTGAAACACATGTCATTCTTGGATAAGATCAAATGTGGACACGTGTTCGCTATATGAAAATCAAAATCATCATATACCTCTGAAATAAAAAATGTTCAATCATTCATACACTTATATGAATCGGAGTCCATGAGAAAACTTTTAATGCTCTATTATGTTGACCAAATAGTAAAATTCTGAAAACATAGTGATTGGGAATAGAGCTCTATGAAATAAAAAATATCTTTCTTTTCCTCTGTTGGCAAATGTTATTAAACATCTGATAAATATTCAGTACGTATATGACTCAAGTTGAATGCATTAATGCTTAATCATTTTCTATCTAAATTAGATAATACAAATCTTACCGTTAGATTCACAAAAGTTTTATCTAATTAGTAAATGTAAATGTTTATTATTATGAATGAATTAAGAATGACGGAAACGATCTTAGATATTTTTATATGGATCGATGGGACAGAATCTCAGTTGCACTGCTATCTGAAAGATTTTATTCTATCTCAAAAAAAATGACTTGTAAAAATCAAAAGTGCTGAATATAAGACTTCTTACAAAAAATTGTTAAATTTAAGCAAACGATTATACTCGTTTTTTCTTTCTCTTTCATAGTTAAAATAAATACATTTTCATATGTTAAATTCATATAAAAATATATATGTTTGAGTACTCGTTTCGTTAAAAAATGTGTTTTATGTTATTTTTAGTGAAAAAGTGCGGAGCAGCCATTTTATTAAGTTTTACTAGTTTATCACCTATTCAAACTGTACAAATAAAGTGTGCCCGCTAGTGTGCATTTCCCCAAGTGTGTATTTCGACTCCAAAGTGATGTGCAAATTGTCAAATTGTGAATTTTTAACTTGCGTTTCTCTATGAAAAAAAAACGAAAGAATTATTCTTCTCGTCGGTCTTCTTTCTCGTTTCTGTCTGTGGAAGCTATATGTGCAATTCCAGTGTGTTACAGGTACACTGAACAAGCCATTTTTAGTGTGCAAAAAACGTGATGTGCACATTCATTATACACAGTGCACCAGCTACACTTATTTTTACAGTGCAGTTATCATTAGAAGTATATGAAAAATTTGAAAGATGAGGAGTATTCATGTAATTAAGAGCCATTGCACGGAAAGAACGACCGATTTCCTTATGTGTTGCTCAATCGATGTGTCGATCAACATGTGTCGACAACTGCATTTTATAGGCGTCATATTTCGGTCTACACAGCAGAGCTAGAGTTCGTACTTGCAGCATAAGTAGTATAGGTCACATACTACCTGTACCCAAAAATATGTGTGGATTCGACTTTCGCACGTGTGCGAAATCGTATCTGCAAAATTGGAAACCATTAATAATGGTCTTACTTTTTGGCTAAATTTTTCTGTCAAAAGTAAAAGTATTTGACTAAGCACGAGTTTCACTGCACAGAACACGTATGGCTCTACTCAAATTTATAGCTTCAATCTGAAAAAGGTAGTTCACTAGGGGTGCAGGCCATCTCTAAGTTCAGAGAAAGTGAAAATGGAGCATTTTAAAAATTCAATTTTTATGTCCGAAGGCACTTGTTATATAAATCGACATAGTCAGCCGTATACTACACTACTTGAACTATCTGGCACTAACTTGCGTTTTGGAGCATATTCATAGATGGATTAACTGGAGCGGTCGGAACCACCTCAGAAACGACGAAAAACGAACATCGCAAAATATAATCTTGTAGTATCTCAAATGGAACCGCAAGACTCGGAGAGTCCAAATATACATGTGTCAATGCCATTCGGCACATATGCGAGCATATGTCACGGAAAAGTGCTTATTTAAGTAGGAAAAAAAGATAAAAGGATAGGTACTCCTTTTATCTTTTCGAAGATAATAAAGTTCGAACATCGATTGAGCAGATTAGGTCGTGCCTACCGTGCAACGGCTCTTAAATTGCTATTCATTTCAAATGCAATGTTTAGTGTAATGTTTAATAGAAGGTACTACAGGACCTTCAGAAGTATGTTTCAGCTGTGCCACTATCGGTGAAAGGTTTGAAGATGTTAATGAGTATGTGAGTATTTTTGGTCTTCCTTTGCCATATTAACATTAAAGTATCGAAATATTGATTGAAATCTTGCGTGTTTGTTTAGTCTTATAATTCATCGTTGCTACTTATTAAGTATACTCATCCAGTCAATTTTTTATTCGGTTTTATTTTTTATTTTGAACACTGATAAAATCTTGATTGACACTTTTCATTGCGGATTGAAAGTTATGGCATTTTTTTGTAAGATTTATCGTTCTGAAGATATGCATAGATAGACCGACTACTGCTGTATATAGGTGATAAATTAAATTCAGAAATTATAGGATGAGCGCTGAAATAATTAGATGAATACTCGTTTTGCAGCTAACTAAAATACAGAGAATCAGACGAATAGTGTAAAAGTTTATCCATCATTGCCATTATGTACCGTATAGTTGCATTGGAAAAAGAATTAAACATCATGCGGTGGAGTTTAGTTGAATAGATTTAAACCGCGAACATTTTGAACATTATTAAAAAAAAAAATGAAAAATAAAACTTCGTGGTGTTTAGGATGATTTCTTTCAATAGAACAAGATATATAAAAACACGAATACAATCTTTGTTCGGAAACATAAGGTGTTTTTAAGGAGAAAAAAGCATTCGTAGGCTGAATTAATTATCGTATGCCGAGGAACTGATTAAAACGATGTAACTTTATCACAAATATCTTTCAAGAACATAATCCTCTAAGAAATAATGATGGTTTAAACTCCGATTTGTATGTGACAATATGCACTTCAAATGAAAAATTACAGAAAAAGTGCAGTATTTTAATTCTAATTATTATTTTAACTTGTCTATAATAACTACACATTTTTAAATAAATCATAAAATTTCAATGTTAAATTGAGAAATTAGTAGCACTTAGATACGAGTTTTACGCTTTCAATATTTTTCCTGCTGATATAATTGATTTACAACAAGATATACAACACGTGACAACAAACCCAATATAAGTGAGAATAAGAATCCAAAATGCGAACCAATAAAGAGTTGGATGACAATAATTCGATGAATTTGAATTAGTTGTATTAAGTTGAGGGCGAACACGAAACACCCAAACATTTCCCTATAAAAAAAAGCCAGTTTAGTGAAAATAGCTGAAGAGAGTAACAATGAATTGTACATACCGCAATAAACCAGACAACTAGAAAAAATGTCAATAAAAAACCAAGAATGCATACGACTAATACTACACAAACAGTCATCATCGATGATGCAATAGTTGGAGTTTTGAAACAGCAAATAAACGCTAGTGCCTAAACCAGAAATTGAGAAAGTAAGATGAAGTTGAAGGCAAAGGAAAGCGAGTAAAAGACGTACCATAACAATTAGAAGAGCAATAGTGACAGTTCCACATGAGCCAGACACAATTAGATAAATGGGAATAAATGGTTCAAGTTGACATTGATTTATGAAAGACGCACCTATGGCTACTTGTAGAATTGGTACGATCAATAATATACATGACATAACAAGAAAATACGATGATCCGAATATGACAGCAATTGTTGGTGGAAGAAAATTAGGCGCTATGGGACGATTGTCTGTTTCTGCTACTTCGGCTTGTTGTTGAATACGACCGCTTGGTTGGTGAACGGGTTGCACATTCGTGGGTGCTGGATTATTGGCAGATATATTAGTGAACCGCGAAGAATTGACGTATAGATTCTCAGTAGGTGTGGATCGTTGTGTATTAGCCATCGTTAGGCTATTTATAGTCTAGAATTAACACGAGAACATCATATAATTACCATTAAAAATATTCACATGATGATGAATAATATATCTGCAATAAGCATCACCGTCTGGTAGTAAAAAATTGACTAAAAAACGCATTATTATAACGTTTCTTATAATCCACAAAAGACGCGTTGAAACGCTGTTTCTACCAATTGTTTCCTGACACGTTTAATAAAAACGCGTTCATTGCGCCGTTTCTCATAGTTCTTTGCAAGGTCGAGCTTTTTGAAAAAGTATCGATCAGTGTATGTAATTATTAAACCTGCCAAAGACTGTTTGCCTAATACGTGTATCCTTATAGCAATGAAACAAATCTTGTGGCTAGGAAAAAAGGAATTAATTTGTTAGATAAAATGAAAAAATCAATCTGCATCCATGTAGTCATCGTCACACTACATTCATCTAGTCATCGTTTTGTTTAAAACGAAATTATATCGTACTTTGAACTTGAAGAATCTATATATTAGTGACGAGAAAAATGCTTTCGACATAACAATAATACAGTGGTTCTTTAATTTGGTCAAATTGTCAAAATTACCGCAATTCACTTGTTTTACTTACTTTTTCTCAGTCATATGATGCTGTTTAAAGAGTAAATGGAAGATGGCTCTTTTCGTACTTTATCTGGTAAAAAATGAGTATATTTACTACAATGGCATAATAATTAATACATGCACGAGTATTTCCTCCCTGTTGTTAGTCATTTTTCTGTTCTTCTTCCTGCTGTTGATGATACCACCTTCACAAAATCAATTATTTGCTCATCTCGCCAAGATAACATTTATTTTTAATTTTTTAATGTAACATACATCTAATACTTTCAACAACAACAAAAAACATATGAATTTTACATTGATTATGTTATCAAGTCGACTATACAACTCTTCATTTACATCTTCCGATTCTTCTATATTAGCGATGTCACCTGTAAGACGAATAAATGTAATTTACTTACATAATCAAGAAATAGAATCAAATGAATTTGATCCACTGGAATAACCATACAATTAACGGTTATTGTCGCAATCGTACGACTACTCGTTCTAACGGAATGTCAAGGATGGCAATCGAATACACGAATTACTCAACCACTTTTTGCAGACTGATCACCTATTGAGTACGTTTCGGGCACAAATTTAGATCACCAATTGCCTCCGTCAAGCGAATTTTGTCACTGCCTAAGTGTAAAACTCTTCAACTTCTTCAACGTGTCTCACCGAACAGTACAGTTTCGAGAGCTGAATAATAGCATATTATTGCTTCGAACTGTTGTACCACGTATTAGAACCAAAAAAACATCAAAGACTAATTGTCCATCATATAAAATAACATTAGTTACCAGTACTATCCAAAGATCAACGCAGTCAGTTAGGCAAGTACAGAACGACGTACTCTACAGAGAACAATTTGTTAATAATAAAAATGAAAACATAAGGTGAACATATTCATGAAACTTCCTGTTGGAGGACTCGAAACATTTAACGTATTATTTTATTTGTTTTGTTTTACCATGATCTGTGATTAAACTGACACTTCACTTTCCTCCTAGCTTCATGCAAGGATTGATTTTGTGTTTTGATAGTCTAAATTTCAGAATGATATAATGGGAATTTATATTCTCGATTTTGTTTTGGTTCAAGATTAACGCTTAAACCAACCGACACTTGACGTTATGTGCATTCCAGAATAGACGTATTCCAGAATGGGTACATTTGCCTTGTAGTGCTTTTTCCTCCTTGCCTTGTTGTCAACTTGTTTTATTACATTTTCAATCTGGTTACTCATTGTCGCCTATCTGTGTACCATTTGAATGTGTTGTGAAAATTGTTCTACTAGCAGTTTTGTTGTCAAGTAAGCGTTTTCAACATAAACAAAAGTTAAAGAGAAACTTATAGGGTAGATATGTTTATTTTTTTAAGACTTATTAATTATTGAACAACATTTTTAGTATGGCATTTGTTTAGATTTCGCTACGTTAGAACTCTGTTTAAATAAACAAAAGGAAGCAAAAAAGGAAAGAACTTAGTTCTCACGACTATGAATATATTCTAAGTTCGAAATGACATCATGTTTGATTTAAGCTGTATTCTTCCAGAATATAAACGAAAAGAAATCTGTTGTAGTATTCTAAAGCCGAAACTATGGAAAAATAAAAAATCATTTTTAGTACGGATGCGAAAATATGAACTCAGGTTTCAAGTAAACTGCAAAACTAAATTCACTCTTAGTAATTTTCAACGTTTATATCAACAATATGTTAGAAAGACAGCTCGAATATTTCTAACAGTTACAAAAGAGTTGACTCATAGGTCGCCTTTTTTTGGTGTAGATAAATCGATTATTTGAGTCATACTGGCTAGTCACCAATATTTTCTGTTCACAAATCATTTTCCGGATGAAAGATGTTTATGCAAGCATTCAGAAATTTCTCATTTTATTTTCAACAAATAATAATCATTCAATTTTCGTTTCGGTGATCATCGCTTTTTTTCCTCCGCTATGTACGGTTGTCCTCAGACAAATCGCTTTGGTGATTTCATTCTCTATGACCAAGAGACAATAGTTAATGGGCATAAGTCGCGTGTGCATAGATACTTATTTCTCTTTTCTAATACATTCAACCAATTATGATGTTAAAACTGTAGTGAAAAAAATTGGTTAATTACTTTTTGAAACTCAACAAAGAGAAGGTATCTCATCACCTTAAAAAAAGATGAAACAAAACGTTCAGTACAGATATAGGTCACCGTGATATATGTGAGACAAAAAACACTTGACTCACACTATAAGATACTACATGACACTAACACAGCAGCCAAAACAATGTGATATAGTTGTGCTTGAGACATATTTAAGATTGTTCTGTTTTTCTTTTCAATTAAAACAACAACGGAACATTTTTTTTGAACATATGCATACATGGAGACATGACATTTTGAGAATATATTGAAGCTGACCGCTCCTCTGTTCTTACGTCGTCAACCATTCAAAATTGACCAACAAACAATAAATAACATAGGGCTTTTCTTTCTCTTTTTTTTTCTTTTCGACTCTCTACTCTATATTACAAAACGTTTGCTCTGTTCATTCATATTCACCACCACATTTCTTTAATAACATTTATTACTTGAAATATGTTATGTTTGACGTTCATTCATGTAAGTACCACTTCATACAGTTTGATATACGTTCGATATATATATAGAATAAAGAGAGAGGAAAAAATTTCTATATATGGAATGGTGATAGGTGTGTACAAAAGAGAGATTTTTGTTCTGTTTCTACAACTATCATCTCCTAAAAAATGACCAAGAATATACCACACAATACTATCAATCTATTACACAAACTGTATAGAGTGTAATCGTTGAACCAAATGTAAAGAGACAAAAATCGAAATAAAAGAAAAAGAAGAGAAAAAACGAGGTGAGTGTACATCATCATTCAAACTGTTGAGAGGGTATATCGTCTATATATCTAACAGATAGTATGTTCGGGTGTGTGTTTGTTTGACTTATATCATTCTTTATGTGGATGTAATCTAGCTCAATATACAAAAATGTAAGACAAGGCTTTTTCTTGATGATAGTTCAACTTTTTTAATAGTAGAAAAAAAATTCAAATACTTTTTGGTCATATAACCTTCGAAAAAATGGATCAAAATATTTTAAATAATTAATACACAAGTTTAACTATCCAGGATAATTCATTTGAGATTTAGTGGCGATCAATTTATGCAATACGTTATAGTAATTCTACTGTAGAAAGTATTCTACCTGCTGATAAGAAGAGTTTTAATATAGAGTGTTTTGAAGAGAGAAATACATTAAAAATTAAGTTATGTAGTTAGATGGAACTGTCAGTTATCATGTCAATGATCATCAGTTATGATGTTGTATTTTGAGTTTCTAAATAAGATTTGTTCAGTTGTTTCCAACAGAATGTCTTACTCATACGCTTTTCTACTAATTAGTAAATTATGAGGCATTTTCTTTAACTATTTTCTGTTGAAGAGAGGCAAGAAGAATCATAGCCTGATAAATCCAGATCTCTTTTGCACTTCCATTCGTTAACCTGCTACGTTTGCATTGATAAAAGAACCGTAATGGTTGTCATTACAAAATCGTGTATATTGGTCAGCAAATTTACACTACAGCGTTTCTAGTTTGAATAACAGACGCGTCTATTCCTCTTGGACATTGAGTATTTGTTTGTTGCAACTACAGCCACAATTAATGTACGACTACTGTAATCAAATCTCTCACTTGAGGTCTAAATGGGAGTACACTCAGTCTAATTCTATATATGCCAGATATGCTGTGTAATCGAATTAAAGGTATGTATGTACAACAGTTACTGTATCCATATCGATATCTATGTATAATACTCTTTTGAGTACATAATAAAAAAAAAGAGAAATTTGAATTTCTCTATATGAGATACTTGATATTCATACATAAAAGTGAATTTCTCGTTACAAGTTTATTATCTTAAAACGAGAAAGTTCAATATTATATATACGTAAAGAAAGAAGGAGAGAACTAACCTCTCTTTCATTTAATACCGTTACATAAACTCTTTAAAATAGTCATTGTACATATTATTGTTGATCATCATGATCATCTATACATCCATATAGAATATACCAAACTCATTTCAATATGACTATGTACATATCCTTAATAACTAAAAGTGTACGTATATGTTTAATGTGTCATAATACAGTAGTTCAAAAAAAAAAGAAATAAAAGGGATGTAGTACACTAATATTCTCCTTTTGCTTAGAACAATATTCATCATTTACAATCCTCTAAAACCAATGTTCAAACAAAGATAAATAAAAACATTTTTTTTTATTGAACATATAGATAGGTTTGATGAAAAAAGAAAAAGCATTTTTTTTTTTTGTCATTCACCTACATCATGCTATAGTTTCGTAGTAGGTAACAATGATCAAATAATAGCATATATAGATATTTGACGCAATTTTGAACTAGTAGTATTTTTCTTATAAACTACATCATACGCTTAATCAGCAGGTTTCTAGAATCCGAATAAAAGCTTTATGTAAAGTAAATAGATAAAGAACATATAATGAAATATGCATTATCTTTAAAGCTTTCTATCTATTGAATATTGAGAAAAACATTTTATTTTCTAATCAGATACTTGACAGAGAGATATCTTTAGTGAAAATCTCTCCAATTATTCATAAACATCTCCATGATTTATATTTATTTGTTTATTCTACTAAAGATATGAGATGTACAATGTATATGTATGTACATGCTCAGTATGTATGTGTATATATATATATGTGGATAAGAAAAAAAAGAGGGAGAAAATCCTTCAAGAAATGTATTTAGTGTTGATAAAATGCTAGTTGAATTATGCAGGTCAATGGTATATTATAATCAATAACCAATAATTTTGCTAATACATACAGTATAGAGAACACAAAGTGCCTTTATCTCGTCATCGTATACTGTCACGGCATTTTCATCTATTTATAATATATGTACATCAAGAAGAAAAAAAAAGAAAAATAATTTTATTCTATACACATCTATTGAGAGAAAGAAAGAGAAAACATACTAGTCCTCCCATCCCATCATAGCAATTGAACACAAAAATATTTAATCACAATTTTTAACTCTCAACATCTCTAGGCACATTAAAGATTAAACATTTAGAGAGAAATATATATTCAATGTCATATGAGTAGAATAGTTTTAATTTTTTAGAATATACTGAGTTTTCATCATCGTTTATATTTGAAAAAATAAATAAACGGCTTATTAAACTTCAATTGTGCAGCTAAGTATGTATATATATATTTTTTTATTTATATTTATAATTACATCATCATTGTTTTGTTATTGTTCCATCTTTATTTAAGAGAAAAAAAATCGTACAAAACTGTTGTAATATCAAAAAATGTAATTGAACATATATGGTTTAATTTTTTGACATGACAATATAGTTGTACACACGCACACACACACATATACATTTGAACAAATGCTATCAGTGTATACGTCTAGACTAGATTTCTTGTGTTATTGGTAGTATATTATTAATAGCAGATATACATTATAAAAAGAAAGGTAATCACTGTTCCATAATATTTCTTAGAAAATATCTTAATTTGTCAAATTTATCGATTTGGTTAATGTTAAATAATTTGACAAATTACTAGTCACACTAAAAATAAAGTTTATAATAGTTGAAGCAACTCCTTCCCCTATTCTAGTACTGCTTTGCCGAAATTTTGTTAGTATTTCGCATTTTTAGTATAGTAGTCAAAAGATTAATAAAGATTAATGGTTTGATGATTTTTACTTTTCAAAATAGAATACGTGTTTCTGAAGAGGAAAAAATCTCTAATATGAATCACATGACACACAATCTAAAATAGATTACATGTACACTTATCTTTGAGAAAAAACTGATAGTAGATACCGTTTAATTTGATCGTTTTACACAACATAACAGTCTAAGTTAAGATGAACTTGATAATAGATTTAGCATAGATAGGAAGCTGTGGGTGACACATTAAAGTGACACTCTAATAATCAAAAATTAGTACCATATTTTTTTTCTATTTATCCTAGATAGTCTACTCTACATATTTGTTCCTTTATCCTACATTCTTACATAAACGAATAACAATACAAGTGATCTTCACATTGTCAATTTTCTATGAATAAAGCTCATATATTTGAACTACTTTAAGTATAATTTTAACAAAAACGAATATTACGTATTTTCTATATATTTCGATATTGTTTTATTTCTCGGTTTGACAGAATATCAATAGAAAATAAATAAGAAACAAATTGACTATAAACGATTTAATTTCAAAAGCTGATATATTTACGAGATACGCGGCACATATTATTATAGATACTCTTTTTAGGCAAATGCAGACTATGCACTCCCTTACAAAGAATGCAAACAGCTTTACAACTGAAGATTTGTTAGCTTCTTGGAAAAAAGTGAAGTGTCAAATATGACAGGTTTCTGGCTACTAGACTTATTTTCGTCATAGCTTTTCAATGATGAAGCTTAACAACTCTAAACTCGACCAAAATCACTGATTTTTTTATACTAATGAATTTATACAAATAAATAAAAAAATATCGAAAAGAAAACTGATTAAAAGTGATACAATCATCCCGGGTTTGATCTGTCACGTTTTTTTACATGCAATACATTTTTGTTTTTCGTGAATATAAAAGATAGAGAGCTAGAATTTTATCATACATGTGAAAGAATGTACTCAAGAATTCTTGAAGAGTGCTGCTCAATTCATTTTTGATGATCGAATTTGACAAGAAAATATTGAATATTTGAATATAAAATAGAACAAAACTGTAATTCTAATACGTTGTTTTGTAAATTTTAAAAAATATCATATGATTTTATTGGCTTAATAGTAAACTCTAAAAAAATAATTTATATTTTGGTGTGAGTAGTTCTCTAGAAATGCTAAATATGAATTTCAAATTCTTTTACTAATTCGTTTTCATCATTTTTGATAAATTTTCAAAAAGTCATTAAAATCGCATTCTAAAGATGTTTTTAAAGTATCTGAAGATTAGTAGATTATCCACAATCGAGATACATTTTGATAGAAAGCTTTTTACTCTAATTCATAATTAAATACTGATAGTTTTGAAAAAATATCTGTCGTTTTTAAAATGCACCCGTTTTCTTCAAGGAGTGGAATAACAGAGTGACCGCTATATTTTCAGATTGTTTAATTATTCGATATCCTTTTTTGTTTTAGCTATGTAAATATTGTCATGTGTTGTTTAATTGATAATGGATCAATATTTAAGTGCGGTTCTGCGTAATTATACATCAAAAGATAATACAGGAAATGAATCGGATGATGAGGGTAAGTTGAGTAGAATGAATTGAGTCCAAACCATGTGTTCATTTTCTTCTTTTTATTTTTTTTAGACTCATTTGGTGGTAATCAATTACATTATAAAATTCCATTTTGGATCGGTTCATTTGTAATAGGTCTATTATTATTTTCGGCAATTATTGCTTGCATTAGATACTGTTATTTTACTCTATGTCCATCACATGGTAAGTGCAAAAAACTACTTGCTACTATAACAAATAGGCAAAAATTTTCTGAATACTAAAACTGCTTCATGAAAGTTTGATACAGAGATTTTCGTTCATTTTCTAACTTTAAGCTTTCATCATTGAGAAATACTGCTACTGAAATCATCAAACGCATATTTATTTGACAATAGAAGCATTTTATATATTTCTATATGTACAAATATTTATTATGCAACGAATTATGTAATAAAAGATTTGAAAAATTCTTTAACAGCGAGTTTTTTAAATATCAGAACAAATAAAGTGGAATTAAGACAAAAAATTTTGTTTATTCAAAATACCACTCTTATTATTTGATGAAGAATGTCTTCTTTTGAACTTTATTTCGGCTATTAAATACTTAAAAGTAAATTGTATAACTTTACGTTTAACGAAAGTTTTGTCAAGAAATTGTCAAACCTAAGATGAAGTTGAAAAGAATTGTCGCAAAACGAGTAGAAACAAATCAGACCTGCGTATGAACTGTATTAGTTCAAAGAAAAAAAATTGAGTTCATAAGTTCTTACGATTACAGATATAATTATTCCTCATCGTTAAAAACGTCTCGAAGAAGCGAATTTTTATCCGATTTGTACAGCATTTTCATAACAGAAATGCAAAACTCAGCTACTTCTCGCTTTCATCTCTAGATTAAACTCAACATTTTATGTACAGACAAAGATCTGTGAGCTATCGGTCCTAACCCCATTTGATTAAATGGTATAAATTTGTCGATGTGTCTGTAGTCTTGTGATTAGTGTCTTTGTGAATATCAGTGTGCGATAGTGTAATCAAGAAATATATTTATACTAATTTGTAAAGAATAATGAAACTCAATGAATTCTAATACATAAATTGTTTTTTCGCGTAAAGTTCGATTCATGTTTAATAATATTAAACAAAAAATAATAAAATACAAAGTATAGACGATAATTGAGTGTGTAAGAATTCTTTATGATTATATGAACCGAATATGGTTCAGAGAAGGTCCGTATATAATCATACCATGTAAAATGAAACTATATATGGATATACATATGTATGTATGGCATTGAATATCACAGTGAGTGAATAAATACAAAGAACCATAAAAAATGTACCTTTATTGTTTTTCTATATTTGACAAATACGGGCCTCTAATTAATAGATCTGTGTATAACTGAATGTGATTAGTCACCTGAATATGAGAGAGAGAAACCAATTGATAAAGAATTAGGAATAGAGAGAATACAATACATTGAACAGGTTAAGTGATCTTCTTCAATACTTTCAAAAGATCAATGAGTTACTCTGAGATTTCTTATCAGTCGAATTGTTTGTACTCCACTTTGTGGTAGTATACCGGAGAATTTGAAAGTCATTATGTTGTTGATCAAGGCAACCTTCGTCATCGGTTAAAATAATAAGAATAGCTGCCGTGGCATAGAATTGTATGTATGTGTGTGTAACAATTTTTACCTTTTATCTTAGAAACAGAAAAAGTGGCGTTGGTGCCTCCAACATCAGTATCAACGCATGAAAAACGGTCGCAACCATTAGTACGCAAAAATAACAGTGATGAAACTCCATCAACAAAACGACATCGACAAATGTCCTCACCAGTTATTCCAAATAAAAAACATCAACGTTTTCATCACTCTGCCTCACGAGACGATCACATTGATTCGCATCCGTCTCGTTTAATGATAAATGATACAATAACAGATATTGACACACACGTTTTGAATCTACCGCGTTCTCGTGCACCATACGATCTTCGCAAAAAAATAAATGGCGTTTACGTATTGCCCGTGTCACCCGCCCTTTCCTCAGCTTCATCATCATCTACACAAACAGCCGACAGTAAATTAAGTACAAATGAAACACCGGTACGTCCCATACGAAATACTGACATGTCAGCAGTTGATGACGGAGGACGAATGGCATTCAACAACAAAGGCTACGGTGACTCACCCCAACCCAAAGATCGAACGTTAAATCGTTCACAATTAAGGACTACGACGCCTAATACGACACTACGTCGAACAAACAACGGTCTTCCTCCACCACCTACTCAACCTCCCCCGTCACCACCCATTCATTTTTCGAATAATATTCGACGATCTCATGATATGTTGAATAAGTGTGCAACGATGGGTCTCACTACAAAAGATCTTAACATGCGGTTTTGTCAGCAATCAAATTATGGAATAATTAAGGAAAATACTAATCATAAACATCCTCCACCCGTGCCTAGTCGATCACAAAAACCGACGAATGCCATTGGTTTTGAAGGAATAATGGTGAAGCAGTCCGATGATTACGAAGCAACAATTGGGTTTCGTCGAGAATTAATAGAACAACAAGAGAATTATTGTGAACATCATTATCCCGAGCAATCACCAATAACTACTGATCAGTGGCCAATACCACCAGAAACGAATGATGAAATATCCATCATTCGGCACAGTCAATCCATAAATCCTCTGCCAACATCTCAGACTTATAATCATTTAAATCTACTTCCTCAAGTTCACGTCAGGAATCAACAACATCATAGACGTCGCACAGTTAACGACATATTTCAACATGAGGATCAAACAATGTTAACTGAATCGAATACTTAGCATATTTTAGTTTTTTGTATACAATTTTTTTTATAACTATTGCCTCATTTTTTTTAGTTCTTATTTTCTTTTTACGGCTGGCTGTTTAAAATAACAGTAATATATTGTACAGTTCAAACAAACGAATACGTTTAAGCAATGGAACAACAAACATCTACTAGAGCGTATAAACTCAGTTTTTCACTGATAGAACTAAAGTACAGTAGCTTAGCTTCGTGTATATTCTTAGAAAAAGGGCAATCAATAACAAATATACCTAGAATCAAATTTGAGTAAGTTGATGAGATTAGATTAGAGGAACAGGTGAGAAATACTGTATTTGCAAATACTTTAAAAACTCAATTGAAAAATATAGCTGCGGAAAACATTATTATTCTTTCATCTTAGAATGAGATAAAATATCTTTATAAGTGAAGGTAAATATGATTTAGAAATCTATAATCTCATTTTGAAAGTTAAAATAACGTTTTTTTCCTTACTTATAGTATATTTACTATTATTCATCGACAATATGTAATTTGGCTGATAATAATCAGTTTCATTATTCAATCATATTGTCAACAAAACTTACAACTTCAGCGCGTTGCTTTTTCAGTCCTACCATCGCAGACAATTATATCAGAAGACCTTGTTGGACTTTGTGGTTGTGCAATTTTATTTTTTGTTTCGCTCAACCTATACGAGATATACCTACTCTTACAACGTTCATGATGAATTAGTTCCATTAGTATTTTGATCTTTGCTCTACGATGCGTATATCTGTTTCAGATCATCAGCAACTATTGTCTGTTTATAAGGTTTCATATACATCCATATCGATAACATTCGGTTATTCGTTCACAGACCATGAAGATGAATGTCGTTTAGATATATGTGGTAGCAGTTACAATCGGTTAACAGTAGAACTATTACCTTCGAAAGTGCCCAGGTGGAAAAACATGAGCCATTAATGGCCAATTAATGAGCAATTCAAAGTCATCCTAAAAACGGCCTGTTTAAAGACCATTAAAAGCGTAAAAAAGACGAAAAAAAGATCGCTTTAACTAGCCGTTTTCGAGTCAGTGAAAAAACGACCTGAAAACAGCTCATAAATGGTGCGGGATAAAAACGGGCCGTTAACAACGTCATAAACAGTCATTTTTATGGCTTTTTTATGATCATTTTTTTCATGAGATAGTGATTGATAATGAACGGCTCATTTCCACGTCTTTTTAAAAACGGCCTAAAAACGGTCTGTTAAAAGCCTCTTAAAAGTGTCGTTTATTGTTAAGCTTTTTCTGAATTGAGGTAAAGAAATTTATAAGATTTTATAATTAATAAACGTTTGAATAGCACTAACACTGACGATCTAACGACCAAGTGATATCGTTGCTACGGATTCCGTCGATTAAAATGCACTTTGACTACACTAGCGCAGTCGAGGTGCATTTTGAACGTATCAACCCCAAGTTTATTTTGAATGGGTAATTATTAAATGCGATTCTTTTGAAATATATTTAAAGTGGAGGGAAACGCCCGTAAAATATCGACGGAAAAACACGAAAGGAAGCACTTTTTTCTCCATGGCCGTTAGACTATAATAATTACTGTCACTACACTGTAAATTCATGTACCCCATTAGTGGGTGACTGCGCTAATTCATTTAGAAAAGTGGGTGAATTTCATCCACATTAGTGGGTGACGGTCACCCATCTGATTAACAGTTTTCACTCTTTTAAGTGGGTGATCTGAAATTCACCCAATTAACAGGATGATTTTCATTCATTTATATGGGTGAATTTCAGATCACCCACTTAAAAGGGTGAAAACTGTTAATCA